TTATGAGCTGAGTGAGATTCACTTACTAAATCTCAGCTTTTAACCCACTTTCCCAAGATTCTTCCTGCTGGCTACGGCATGCAAGATTCATCACCATTTGCTGAGTGGAACTCGCACCTGGAGACCCCGATCTCATGACTGTTGGTGCTCAGGTCTCAGACGGTGGGTCTTCCCTGGTGCAATGTGTGTGAGCTGGGACTGAGCACCCGCAGGGCCGGGTCCAGGCTCGGCAGGGAGCAGGGCTGGCTACCCACGCCGGGACGGTGGCACAAGAGCCACTGGCTTCCTTGAGCCAAGAGCTCACTTGGGCAATTAAGTCAGGCTTATTGTTAAAGTCAGCATTTTTGACTGGAGGCACTGGAAACCTATTTGATGACTGCGTCTTGCCAGATCCCAGTTTTTTATTACTCATCTCTGCAATCGCCTTACATTTACCTCAGTGCGTAAGAGATGTCCCCAAGGCATGAGTATAGATGGTGTACTGGAGAATAAAGTTGAAGAGCTTGAATTTCCTGCTGCTGCTAGACTCTTGGGGCTCAAATATGAGTGTTTTCCTGTGTCTGAGGCAGTTGAGGAGCTCAGGCAATGTACAGCATTAGGGTCCAGGCTGTGGTTCGTGTTCAGTTTAGTGATGACTGTGGAGCTCAGTTAATTTCTGCATTTTACTAGATAGATTGATATAGGGTAAGGCCAGAAGAAAACAAATTATTTTTTTGTTAATTTGGGTAGGACGGGGAGGGTGGGTGACTACACCTTGGTCAGGGCTCTGGCCCTAAAGCGCTGCTGGTTCTGGACAGGCCCTTGGGCTCCATCTGCACCAAAGCTGTTTTCTCTCCCAGCTGTTATCGTGTAGCTAAACCTGGAAATAACAAATGTCACAGGGACAGGCTGACAGCTTGGATGAGGATTGTTCTTAGGGTTAGGGATCTGCAATAAAAGAGTCGATAACCTTAGCTTTTAGGTGACCCTTGTTTGGCCTGTGCCAATGACAACAGTGTCACCTGCTTGGCTGCTGATGGCTTTAGTTCTTGTGGCTCAGGGTTCAAAGGTGTCAGTTAAGTGCAGTGCTAGATAGAGTTAGTATCAGGGTTCAGTGGGATCTGTAGATCTCAGAGTATGGTTTGTTGTACGTCTGACTGGGACAGAATTAGGCTGCAAGTAGCAGGAATAATCAGTTTTCATCTGCCCCAAGTCAGTGAGACAGGACCATACTGGGATTAATATTATGGTTAATGTCGAGGTTGGCATTTGGAGGTGCTGGAGAACTGACTCTGTTATTAGCTCTTACAGGCTCCCCTGTTTATTTTGAGGAATGTGTGGCTGCCTGGCTGACGGCTCCTGGACGGGGCGAGTGCCGGTCGCTGGGGTCCCTGCTGGGTGCTGCCAGGGCCATGTCTGAGCACACCCACAGAGTCCTGCACCTTCCCAGCACCGCTGTCCTCTCTCCAAGCTCTGCAGGGACTCTGTGCAGCAGTCAAAGACACAAATGAACAAGAGGTTGGTACAGGTACATTTCACAGTCTCTATTCATTCCCCCATTACCCCTAACATGGTGTCCAGGCGTTGTGCCCTCCCCGGGCTGGTGGTGCCTCTCAGAAATGGTAAGTGTAGGTCTATAATTAGGGAGTCTGTAATCCACAGATTAGTGGCTCCATGCTCTAAGTCTCCATCTGTTGTACACACTGAAATCGTTATATCTCTAGTCTCGGTCCTGCTCCAGGCTTCTAAAACGGTTTTCACAGGATTTTCTTTGTTGTGCAAAGCAGCTTGTTCATGGCTGTCAGTTGGTGGCGCAGCAATAGAGCAGACATTGCACGATGGCTCTTGTCAGCGTGGCACAGGCTGTGGGGTGCTTCTCTGCCCAGGGACGGGCCTTTGGAATCCATTTTCCTGCCACGTTGGGAGACGCATCCCCCTTGACACAGAGCAGATGGCACGTTGCCAGTTCAAGGCTTTTACTATGTTTAGACAATCTCCCAAACAATGGAAAACTACAGCCATCGAAATGGGCTGCAGAGACAAGGCAGAAGCCTTTTCACACACAGCCATACCCCCTTTCTCAGGGGGGTGGGTGCCATTTGGGGGCTCCAGCCCACGTGTCAGCTCCGAGCTGTGGAGGCCATGGCAGGGCCCAGGCGCTGGCTCAGCTCCATCTTCTCCCCCGCGGGGCTCTGGAAGTGGGTGTTCCTGTGGCCACGGGTGGCCCCGGGTGTCCAGACAGCCTCCCACCGCTGGCTCCTCCCGGCCCCGCCATGCTGCCCACGCCGGGCTGCCATCTTGCTCCTGCTCCTGGTGCAGCAATGGCCGCTGGCACCGTGAGGGGCCAGGCAGGGCCGCAACCTCTTAGTTGAGGGGCAAAGATTCTTCTAATAACCCCGAGAGTTCCGTGTGGTTCTACACTCCAACTTTTCCTCTCATTTTACATCCTTTGTCAGTATCAGAGTTCTGGTATTTCAGTATCTTCCGCGAACACCTGTGCCCTCACCATGTTGGTGTCACTGGGCAAAACAAGTACAGCTTATTTCACAGGTCCTGCCTGCACATCTGTTTTATATGCACATCTATGCCCTTTGATTTAATCCTGAATTTAGTGCACTTTAGTATTAAATGCCTTTTCCATGTTTTCTAGCCAAAGGAAATGGGACTGCTTGGCTTCATCCTGCTTCATTCATTATTTGAAGATTATTGTGCAAGAGGGTTGGAGATAAACGCTTTTGAACTCTATAGTAGTAGAGATCTAAATGTAGATCCAAATTTGTGTGTCTTGGACTCATTTAATGTGTTTCAGTCAAAGATACGAGCTGCAGTAGGTCTTGGGAAAGATAATTAATATCTTGGCCTTTTTAAAAATAAGAATACCTTCATGTACTGGGCTATTCCGTGGCAATAAAATATCTTAGATTTGTTGGGGATTTGAGTGTAAAAAGATGGGATAGGTGTAAATACCTGGCTATGACTTTGCACTTTCAAAATGTGCTTTCCATTTCCCCTCTAAGGCTTTCCTTGGCAATTTTCTTCCAAAAGGTCTTTTTTTGTAGTGCTCGCAGCTCCCAAGAGCTGTGCTGCCCTTCACCTCTGTGACTACGGGCTTCCTGAGAAGCACGGCATATTTTGTCTCTCTGACAACAAATGCAATAAAGGAGCTGCTGTTTGCTGCTGCTCTGCTCCCCATCACAGACGAGAAAAGCCTCGGCAGCGGCAGGACAAGCCCCATCTGCTCTCCCGACCAAGAGGCCCTGAGGACCCTTGAGGACGCCGCACCCGGGACTTGTCCTTAAACTGCCTCCCGAGAACTCCTGCTGCGGTGTGTGCCTGGCACCTCTGCGGGACACCTTCGCTGCTGCAGCTCGGCCCTGTTCCGCGGACATTGTGGGGCATCGACGCTTGCGACAAGTGGAGTTTGAGGGGACGCGGGTGGGTGAAGGGGCAGCTCGGCTCGGACACCTCTGACTCCTGGGAGACCTGGCGCATATTTTCCAGAGTGGTGCTTGGTTTGCTGGGTGTCTGCGGTTCACCCAGCACTTACGGGGGACTCCCTTACAGCAGCTTAGCTTTGTTCTCTTTCATTACAGGAGTCGTACTGTAATTAATGCCACCATTTAAGGCTCATTTTAAGATGAGAAATTGAACAGATTTTCCGGGTCGTCAGGGCAGGGGGAGGAGGGGGCAGAATTTCAAGAAAATGGAAATTTAAAAAAGCATGATCTAAAAGGTAAAATACATGTATTCAGTGCTTGGGAATAGCAGTGGGAAACACCAGCACCCGGGGGTGGCAAAACAGGTCTGGAAATAGAGCTGGAAACGTTTGCATTTTCCATCACTATTGTTAGTGCTTTGGGTTTCTTTCTCGCTTTGACGAGTTTCTGGGGAGCGCCCTTCCCACGCGGAGCCTCCATTCCACGCAACCCGGCCCTCGCCGCTGTCCCCGCGCACCCTGCACCGCTACCGGCCGCGGGCCTCACGCAGGGACCGCGCCTCCCGCACGGCCCGGCCCGACCCGGCCCGGCCC